TTTTTGGTTACCGGGGATCGAACTTGGGAACTTGCACTTGCGAGGCAGGAGGCAGAACCACTGAGCTAAATCCCCGGCCCTCCTTTCCTATTTTTATTTATCTTTTATTTCTGCTTTTCTTTCTCTTGCCTGATTTTATGGCCAAAGTTTCAAGTACTACCCTGAAGAGGAGTGGTAAGAATGGACACATTTGTTTTATTGCTGATTTTAGATGGAATGCTCTGTTTTTCTGCATTTCGTATGATGTTGCCTGTGGCTTTGCTATAATTGGCTTTTATCAGTTTGAGGTAAGGTCCTTATATATCTATTATCATCAAGGTATTTATCATGAATGGATGTTATATTTTGTAAAAAAGCCTCAATTGAGATGATCATGTGATTTTCCTAGGATGGAGGTGACTTAGTCATGATGAATGATCTCTTTAATGATTTGTTGTATTCTGCTTGCACATAACTTATTGAGGATTTTTGCATCTATGTTCACTAAGGGTATTAGCCTGCAGTTGTCTGTTTTTCTTGAGACTTTGTCTGGTTTTGGTATCAGGGTAATGCTGGCTTCAAGGAATGAGTTTGGCTGTGTTCCTTCCCTTTCAATTTCATGGAAGAGTTTGAGAAATATTAGCATTAGTCCTTCCCTGAAGTTCTGATAGAATTTAGTAGGGAATCCATTAAGTCCCGGGCTTTTTTCAGTTGGTATTGTTTATTACTGCCTCAGTTTCATTGCTTGTTATTCGCCTCTTCAGGATTTTTGTATCTTCTTGGTTCAATTTTGGGAAGTTGTATTATTTAGCAATTTATCCACTTCTAGATTCTCCAATTTACTGGAATATGTTTTTGAAATAGTTTCTTTGAATCCTCTGGATTTTAATGGTGTCCATTGTGATTTTACTTTTTTCATTTATAATTGCATTGATACTCTTTTAATGCTTAAATCTGTATCTGAGACCATTAGGAAGCACAGTGCCTGGCATCTGGGTTGTAACTCAAGACTGGGTTCATAAGTTAAAACTAAAAGTCTGGTCGTAACCCAAGTTTTTCATATGTCAGGCCAGTCGTAACTCGAAGATCCACTGTACTCGTATGCTACTTTAAGTGAAAGAAGCAAGTCATACGAGAATGTTTCTTGGGTGTTGTAGGAGTGGTGCCAATTTTAAGGTACTTTAAAATCAGGTACTGAATTCACTTTTCATTTGGCTTTCTTGTTATAGAACCTTGAGGAAAATGTGGACATTTCAAAGACAAATATCAAGTGAAATTTCCCTATATTGATACACAGTGACACTTTAAAACATAACTTCATTTTCAGATTTTTAAATTAATACCGAAGGCTTCTAATTCTTAAAATCCAATTCTTTCATCAGCTAGTAATTAAAAGAACATGTGATGGTTAACCTTAATCACCAACTTGACTGGATTAAGAAAAGTCTAGCAGATTAGTAAAACATATCTTTGGGGGTGTGTATGGGAGTATCCAGGTATGACTGGCAAGTAGATCAGCAAACTGAGGGAGCAAGGCATGCCCTGATTGTGGGTGGCATCATCCAATAGGCTTGCAGCCTAGATGGAACAAAAAAAGGGAAGAAGGAGCAAATTGGCCTGTGTTTTGAAAAGCTCCATTCTGTTTGAGTGGGTACATCTTTTGCTACTGCCATCTCCTGTGGACACCAGACTCCAGCTTATTTAGCCTCTACATACGAATTCACAAAGTGACTCTCCGGGGAGCTTCCAGGCCTTCAGTCTCAGACTGGCACTGCATCCTGGGTGCCTCTTAATCTGAGGTTTCCAGCTTCTTGGAATGAGCAGATACTGGATCCTCTGACTCTCTAGCATAAACAGAAGGCCATTATGGACTCTCCTGCTTTTGATCCTGTGAACCTACTTAATAAGTCCCTTCACAGTTTGGAGGGAGTTACCTTTTCATCTTTTACTCTTCTATACTGACTATGCTCATTAATTATTTTGTGTGTTTTTAATAACCTTATTGGTAAAAATAACAACATTCAGCACCTTTATGGTTGACAAAGTGCTGGGTAACAGTTTTTTCTCCAACATTTTAATAATATATATTTTTCTATTGATTCTGTTCTTTTAGAGAATTCTAAGCAATACAGAACACAAGCCACAAATAAGCTATAATTCACTCAGTTAAAAACTGAGGATTTTATTAAATTATTGGAAAGAAAACCTCTCAGCAGTTTGTCAATGATAAAGGTGCTGTATGGGCAGTAGGGTCATTAAAAACACAAAAATCAAAATACAGTGGTACTTCAGTTCATGAACTCAATTTGTTCTATAATTTTGGAAAAGATGGCCACATTTGTGATCACATAGGAAAGATGGCTCTGGTCGTGTTTGTCTCCTGATGCAGAGTTTGCAAACAAAATTTTGCCAAGCGCTTCTGTTTGTGAATCAAATTTTTGCAAACAAAAGCATGTGTAAATTGAGGTACCACTGTATTTAATGACCACTGTCAAATAAAAGAATCAAATATAAAAAGTAACTTTTCCTCTAAATTGTGAGGTAAATCTACAGAGCTCTGTTAAAAATGAAAAAAAGGTAAGGCTGGAGATTTAGTTGAGTGGCACTCCACCTGCCTTGCAAGTGCAAGGTCCTGAGTTCAATCCCTGGTACCAGAAAAAAAAGAAAAATGAAAAAAAGGTAAACTTTAAAAAATAAAGTTTCATTAGAAATTTAAAAAGCAAGGGGCAAAGCTTAAGAGAAACAGAAAAACGAAATGTGTCAGATGCAGTTATTTTGGCTCATGCAGGAAAAATTGTGAGACTGACAAAATGGTTTTAATCAAACATATGAGTTGTTTATATTTAAATGAAAAGACAAAAAGCAGAAACAAGTTTAAAATATTATAAATCATGCAAATTCTAATTCACTCTCTCAGAGTGATTTGAATACACTGTACATTTACAAATACTTTATTCAAGGATACTTTCATTTTATTTACCCAAAAAGCTTATAACATTTGTCTGAGCTGACTACTGTACATTTGAGGGCTGACTACTATTGAAGAAGTTAAAGGAGGATTTTTATCTAAGGGCCCACCACTCCCCACAGCTCTCAGAAGCTTGTTGATTACATTTCCCCCCAAAATCTAGACTTGCCGTGAATCATAAAGAAAGGAATTTTATAAAAGCAATCAATTTACATTGAGAACATACACACAGGATGTGAGGGCGATCTAGCTGCAAAATCTGTCATCCATTTGATCACCAGGGTTGATTTGGCTGATCTGGCTGGCTAGGCGGGTGTCCCCTTCCTCCCTCACTGCTCCACGTGCATCCCTCCAAGCTGCGTGCTCAGTCGAAGAGAGTAAGCATATCCGATAGAGGAAGACCATTTCCTTGGTCAAGGGTATAGGAGTAGCTAAGCTCCCCTGCTAGAATCACCAAACAAGCTTTCAGAAAACACACACACACACACACACACACACACAGAGTAATCCCTTTCCCTATCCCACACAAACAAAACCACTAGCGTGTGTGCCAACTCCCCATTGACATGGCCATGAAATCAGACATGAGGAAAAAAAATAGGCGGAGCTTTCTGGTCATTTTCCTGGGGAAGTATAGAATATTAATTACTCATAATTCCCCACTGTAATCTTTGTATCATATGCTATTCTACTATTAAACAGCCTCCTAACATTCATTCACTTAACCAATATTTACTAAGAAATGACTATATGCAAGCCAGTGTACCAGTACTCAGTGGTAAATAAGATAATGAACACTAACAGAAACCATTTTCTCATATCTCTCAAATGAAATTAAGTTACTAAATAATTTAGAGGCAGATGTACATTATCAAAATTTGCATGACCATACTTTAAGTTGTAAAAAGGTAAGAGTAGTGAAGAGTCAGGTACAGATCATTTTCAAAAATGTCTAGATAAGTTACTTTCTTTAGAATGTTTTTAAAAATATCAATTCAGAAATTATATTAATGCTGGTATTTATGAATGACATTATGCTTACATGTCTTCAGAATCGGAAGGTCCTTTAATGTGCTCATCTTCAATTTCATCAATTTCAAGATTGTCTTGAACATCTCCTACAGTGGGAATGTCCATTAGGATTCTGAACAGCTTTGAGAGATCTGGAAGTGAACACGTCCTCAACATCTAAAAAGAGTCAACAAATTACTTATTAGAAGTAAGAGAATTTAAAAGTAAGAAAGAAAATTAGAGCTAATAATAATTATATATTAATCATATATTAAGTACTAGAACTAGAGGATTCAAAGGTAAGTTGCCCAAGGTTAGAACCTAATTCTTTTAAATTTCAGCTTGGTACTTTTTCACGGAATAAACTAAACTTGTGAGTTATGATTGGGTTTTAACACACAGAAATTCATTTATGTTACCTCTAAATGGCAAGAAGAGGTGTTTATTTAGGTATATACCTGGCCTGGAATTGGAAATGTCAGGAATCAGTCAGTGCTAGAAAATACACATTTTTTCTTTTTCACTTTTCGCCCATGTTTTTCCTCTTTCATTATATTTCTGAGTGGCTCTCTCACCTGCCTATGGTCAATTATCCCCATATAAGTCTTGCTGAAATGCTGGAGTGCATTCTCTGAAGTGGGGCAGAGCACAATCACACAACCGGTGACCCTTGGTATTGTTTGATCACTGCAGTTGCTGGCCAGTTAACTCTGATTAAATCTGGGAGCTCAAATTAAAAGGAAAGCCCAGCACTGCTTCCAAGGGCTTGAGACTGTGAGTGGAAGGCTGGAGGCACAAAGCACTTTGATGTCAATGCTAAGAATCACTCATAATAGCAGCGATTCAGCCAATTGTGTTAAGAAAAAAACCCAGCACACAGTTGAGGTGTTGAAAATTTAAATTTGTGTTGGATAAGAACACAGATAATAGGAACAGATTGTTTGCCAACCTTTCAACAATTAGAATGTGATGACTGGCAGGAATATGAAAGAAATAGCCAGTCTTTGGGGTGGGTTAACCCTAAAGGAATTTGTGAGTTTCGAAACATGATTACTAAGGTTCTGGTAAGAACTCTACAACAAATGGAAGACTTTAAAGAAAATACAATGTTCAGCATATTAATGGAAATTTATACATGTGGCCAGTTTTATTAGTACAATCTGTTTCTGAGAAAAATAAAGGATATATTTCCATTATATGAACATAATTTACATATTATAGCACTCAAGGAAAAAACAGTCATAAATTACAAGTTGGTAAAGTTGGTAAAGATAGATAAAAATATACTGCTTAAAACCATTTAATAATGGTGCCGAAAGTATTTCTTTTGATTTCACACTGTCAGGAATTTACACTATTTTATGCTTTTAATCATATATATTGTAAGCCAGCAATATATAAAATAGGCTCCTACAAGTTTCCTAAGGTAATTACTAATCAGCAAAAAATAAACAGCACACATGCATTTGCACCTAAATCTTATGGGGCTACATGAAAGGATATAATTTTTTTTAGGCTGAGAAAAATTTTAGCTAGCCCTAGTAAAACACTCTCAATTCTAGCTTATTCCTTTTACCAATTACAAAAACTTTCTCAACCTATCATTACAAATTACAGTCAAAAAAATTTCAAGTGGTCATGTAATTTGACAATCTGCCTCTTAGAACAGGTTTATACCCAAAAAGCCATCTGGCAGCTATCAAAAAATAAACTCTTAATGTATATCTCACTTCTTGATAAGACTGTGTTGTTCTTAAATAGGATCTTTACCTTCAATCAAAAATTATCTACCATGCCTGCTACTATTCTATAGTTTTAATATCTACAGAAAGAAATTCTCCTGTAAATATTAGCTGATCCATAACATATTGTCAGTTTTTTTTTTTGAGATCCTTTGGACCATGAACGTATACACAGTATTTGATACAATTACAAAATCAAACAACAGTAATGGTCTATGAAACCATAAAACACTTTTTTTTTGGGTACCAGGGATCGAACTCAGGACCTTGAGCTTGCAAGGCAGGCGGCATATATAAAACATTTTTTAAGTGTATGTTACCTTTAGTTTTTATAGTTAGTTTTCTTCTCAAAAATAAAGGGAACCACATGTAATAGTTAATGAATGAATGATAATAAAGTATTAGCTTCATTAATAAAATTTTATATCAAATTCAACTTCAACGAATTCTGTTAACTCACTTTTCATCTTTAGAATATTTCATATAAAGTATGAACTAGTAATGGTCAGGTATATTATAAAGCAGTTTATGATGGGCATATTTGTTGAGCCTGTGTTTACTGCAATTAAACTATAACACTGTTCTCTCAAAATAGCTTCTATAAATATTTGCTCTTTGCAACCCATAAACCTGATTAAAATGAATTTAAAACAAACATTTTCAACACTTACAAAAGGCAAAAGTTATGTAAGGATAGCTACTTTAGAAAATTGAAAGAATTGACTCTTAAGGCCCATGTGCTCCTTATGAATTTTATGTTAATCCTTTTCCCATCTTGCGTTTGCTAGAACAAGAGAAATGCTCAAATTTTCATACTGCCCACTTTTTTCACTCTATTCGCAAGGCAAGCAAAATATCAGCAGAACACATCTGGTCTCTCTCCATCCTTTATTCACTATCCTGTAGGGTGAAGAAGAATAACAGACTAAAAAAACTTGAGACAATGATAATAAAGGGCATGCCTTTTGCTACTGTCTTGGCATGAAGTGTAGGTATCCCACTTCCCTGCTGCCTTGTGGTAAGCAACACAGGTCAGGTCAGGCCTATGCCTGGCTGCTGGGAAAAAGACAGGTCTAATTTTCAGTTTCTTCAAAACCAGATCTTAAAGGGTATAAAGCTCATTGTGAGTTAAGGAAGTTTGTTCTTCAGACTCTAAGGATCTCAAGGACCAGTCACTTACAGAAAAATATCAACCAGCACAATTTTGGATAAAACTAGGCCAGATTTTCTTGCTAGCTTTATCGGAAATAAAACTAGTAGAGTATTATGACAGACTCTTATGTTATCATCTTAACTGGCTACAGATCTGAAGAGCGGTTAAGAGGTAATTAACTCAACTTTTGTCAGTTTTCATGGGATTATAAACCAATAGGATCCTAAAATATCACTACCATATTTTGATGGGAAGAGTTTCCTCTTATAAAGTCAGAATAAATGCAAAATGTTGATTTAATCTTTAGAAGTATATGTTGGCCTTCCCTACATTATGAAAGCATGCATCCCAGCCAGAAGCATTCTCTGAGGAGTAACTCTATACCTAATGACTAGGCCCCCTTGATGAAAAGGAAAAATGGTACTCATATAAACCCCCCCCCCCCTTTTTTTGAGACAGTCTTTCTATGTAGTTCAGGCTGGCCTTGAACTCTTGGTGATCCTCCTGCCTTAGCCTCCCAAGGGCTGGGATTACAGGTGGGTGTGTGACACCATGTCTGGCTAGACAAACTTTTTTTATCCGCTTTCTCAATGATTTTCCAAATTATTTATATTTAATGTGTAATTATAACTATTTACATTTAATATATAATATATTTTATCATCTATACTTCTCAATTAGAATATAAGATTCTGTTTTACTTAACACTGTAATCCCAGCATTTAGAAAAGTACAGTACTTGGCATATAGTATTTAATCAATATTTGTTACTAGATGAATCTGCTAACAATAGCCTACCAAACAGTGAAAAATGGAGGGTGGGAGTTTCTACAAATTCATCCTGCAGCCACTTGTGAGGATAATCTAACATCCTTAAACAGTTTATACTTTTAAATAAAGTGATTTTTAAAAGAGAATAAACTACCACATCACTGGCTTTAAATCAAATATCACCTCTTTCCTAGTTTTGTTTCCTCTAAAGGTGGAACACAGTTCTCCCACACTGACTTCTATTTTGAGTATTTTTTTATTAGACATGTTTGTAGTGCATAATGCTTACATTCCTCGTGTGGAGTTGGTACATGTACATGACACATCTCAATTCCTTTTTTCATCCCCTTTCCCTCTACCCTCCATCCTATTTGAGAAAAATCTATCCCCCTGCTTATTAACAATCATTTATTTTGATCTTATTTATAACTTGATTAACTTTTATAACAGAAATCATGTGATATTTAACATTATGATATCAAGTTGCATCCATTTACCTACAAATGAGTCAAGCGTATCTTTATATATGGAAGAGTAGTGCTCCATTGTGTGTAAATACCACATTTTCTTTACTCATTCATGTGTTGATGGACAAATCTGGTGTTTCCAAGATTTAGTTGCTATGAACTGTGCTGCTATAAGCATGGGTATGCATATATCACTATAAGATGATGTCTTTAATTCTTAGAAAGGGAATTAGCTGGATCAAATGAAATTTCTAGTGAGGTCCAGGGATTTAGCTCAGTGGTTCCGCCACCTGTCTTGCAAGCGGAAGTCCCAAGTTTGATCCCTGGTACCAAAAAAAAAAATTTCTAGTTTTAGTTTTTTGAAGCATCTCCATATTGATTTCTAATTCTGGAAGAAAGATAGCCTCTTCAATAAACGGTACTGGGAAAACTGGCTACCCACATACAGAAGACTAAATCCAGACCAATATTACTCAACACGTACTAAACTAAAATCAAAATGGATAAAAGAACTAAATGTTAAAACAGAAACACTTAAATAGTTGGAAGATAAAATAGGTAAAATTCTTGAATTCATAGGCATAGGCAAGGATTTTCTGAACAGAACCCTGGTTACCCAGGAAATAGAATCAACAAATGAGAGCATATCAAATAAAACCTTCTGCACAGCAAAATAAACAAATAACAGAGTGAAAAGAAAACCTACAGAATGGGAAAGAATTTTTGCCAGCTATTCCTTAGAGGACTAATAGCTAGAATATATATAAAAAAATTAGACCTCCCAAAATAAAAAAGCCAGCCAAAAAATGGGCACATGAAATGAACAGACATTGTACAGAAGTACAAACAGCCAATAAATACATGAAGAAGTGCTCAACATCACTGGCCAATAGAGAAATGGAAATTAAAACAACACTGAGATTCCATCTTACTCCAGAAAGAATGGCCATCATCAAGAAGTCAAATTATAACAATTGCTGGTGAGGCTTTGGGGGAAAAAGGAACCTCTCTATGCTGCTGTTGGGAATGTAAACTGATTTCTAC